GTTCTTCCAAAGGGAGGAGAGAATCACATTGGACAGTGAGATTGGTCGGCCGCCGTCAGCTGCTCTCAGTTTGGGGGTGAGATATTCCCTTCTTCTTAAATCCTCTGCCTGATGTACAGAAGTCTGACTTGGGCTGGTGTTGCCTGTTTCTGGCTAGATACATCAACCTAATTCTGGAGTTTTAAAAATAGGCACATTTTAATTGCTCATTAAATGGTGTCTGCACTGTTATAGAAACAATTGGTGTGGTTTTCCTATCTTTCTCTTATTTCTTAACTTATTGGGGTAGGAAAGAAAGATACTGCTAATTGAACCCTTTTGGAAATCCTCTTTCTCATCTCTTAATTGCAGATGAAGAAAGTAAGGCCCAGAAGCAAAGCTTAATTTAGTTAAATCTAGGTGGTAGTTACTGTGTACTTATATGCAATGTGTGATGCTAGATATTGTGAGGGACACAATAAAAGCAATGCAGGAAAATTTATTGAGAAATATGTAATTCAGTGTCACCTCAGGGCCCCCACGTCACAGTGGACCTGAGAGGTGCTTTCTCAAGTGATGGTCATTCTACTTTTACTTTTATTCTACCCCATTTCTTCATTCCTCTTCTTTGTCTACCCATTTTTAAAAAAGATTTATTTACTTATTCATACAGAATTGGGGTACAGGCCAGAGGTACAGGGGCAGTCAGAGGATTCACCAGACACAGAGTAGGGAGCAGAACAGAATAGAACACTACTGAGGGGAGCAGCAAGCGGGTCAGGAGAGGTGGGGCAGGTCAGGAGAGGTCTGCAGCGCCATGTGGTCACCTCCAGGGCAGGGATTGAACTCATGCTGAAGTGGCTTTATCTTCTTAGTGCTGTGCTTTAACCTGCTGTGCCACCAGGGAGGGCCCTCTACCCATTTTTTTTAACTTATATAATGAAAAGTTAAACAGACCTTTCTATGTAAAATATGAGACTTAAGTGTACTTTGTTTCTATGCAAGAATATTTCTGAAGCCACAGATTTTAGTCTTCTGGCCAGTCTTCCCCTCAACACACAGGAGGAGGCCTTTACCCTTTACCAAAGGGTACTTTGATAAACTGGTTTTTTATTTGGAGAGTTTGGAAAGGGTAGGGGTCCCTGTTTACAATGATTTCAGATTTCCATGATGTAACTACTCCTATTATGGCTCATATTTCATATTTCTAGCTATCAATAATTTAATACCCAACTTGCAACATCTCTGAAAATTAGCAATCAAAGCTGGGTTCCAGCAGACAACACCTGCAGTCTCTTCTAAGTTAAAACTAAGTCAAATATTTACTGAGTACAGATTCTGTGTGCTAACTCTGGGGACTTGGACTTAGTGCAGGACCGCAGGGAATATACATTTTAGTGAGTGAGGTTATTTCAGCAGCATGCGGTAAGTTGGTGGTAGGAATTGGAGACTTCCCAGAGGTGGGCTTCTACAGCTAAGTGTGAGGAGTGGGTAAGAATCAGTCAGGTTGAAAGTCAGGGGTAGCAAGTGTTCCACAAACAAGACTCCACTGAGTGCAGGCTCAAAAGATGGAAAAGAACAGAGTGTAGATGTGCAGACTTTAGTGGGGGCTAAAGGATGTTCCCAGTGTACTCACCGAATTCAACATGTTCCAGACAAAATTCCTCCTGTCTTCCTCCTCCTCATCCTGGTCCCCATACTCACCATCTCTTTCCTGCTTGGATACTATTTGAGATAAGATTTTACTTACTTCTTTGTTCATTGTCACAGGGGTAGTTTGTGTCAAGGCGAAAGTAGCTGCATGTAGAACATTCTTTTTCTGGTTTTTATTGCCCAGTGCTTATCAAGCCTCAGGGGGAAACAGAGCTTGTTGGCAAAGAGAGAATGTCTGGGAAGATGGGGGAAAGAGGAAGATCTTTCCTTCAGAAAGGTTTCTTTTGGAGTTGGAGAAAAGAGAACAGAACTCAACATGTCTCAAGCATTGGGATTTGAGCCCTGAATTCTAGGAGTATCACAGAACCCTAAGGAGAAATGGCTGATAAATTTTGAGGTTTAGAAGGATAATACCAGAATATTCTCTGACTACAAGTGTGGCACTGGAGCAGGAGAGATCTGGAGGGAGGGACTGTGTGTTTAGGGCAAGGCCTTCCTATCTAGAGCCGCATTGTGCACAGCAGTGTGTGACTGTAGGTGGCAGTGCTGGGGAGAGACAATAGAAACCTCTGTAGACAAGTGGATAAAGAGCAGAAGACCTCCTCCTACCCTCTGTCATCGTCACCCACACATGGGCTGGCGTTCATGATGTTCATGGAACTTTGACCCTACTCAACAGAATGGAGAAACATCTTAAGAAAGCCTGAAGCCTTGAAAGTGAAATAAAATCAATTACCGATGCAGACCCCATTTTTCCAGGGATTTACATCCCTCTCTGTGTTGCAGGGAACTGACCTGCAGACAGCTTCACTGATTCTGGTGGAGGCTGGTATATAGGGTTGGTTAAATGGAAGCTCTGGCAGGAGATTAGGGGATAGGAGAGAGAGAATCTATGGTTCAGTTTTCTTCTTTCTCTGCCAAACACAGCTTCCTTGGGAGTGACTGCCTGTCCTTTGGGGCAGGAGTTCCTGCCAAGCTGGCCCAGCTGCCTGGCCCCCGTCTCCTCTTGTTTTTGCAGCTAGGAGCCACACTGGCCAGTTTCTGGTTAATTCATCCATCCCTCATTTAACGTCTGAGCTCTTTTATTATCTGAAGCACTGCATTTGATTATATCTGTAATATCAGAGTTTGTCTTTATTTTCCCAGTGGTCCTTGCCTGAAATAAGTGGTTTATATAAAGGTGGTGTGGCATTTCTTGCACCTCTAGCTGGTAGATTGTTTGCTCACCTTTCCTTGCTATTAGTTTTACCTATTCTGCACTCTCAAGCTAGCTGTTTAGCTGGTAACATTAGTTACATCAATGTATACTACTTCCCAGACAATTGCCATTTTAAAGTAATTTTCGAAAAGGATGCTTTAAGGCAAATGTGTCATTTACACAAGGGGCCTTTGAGATGGAGTGTCTGACTCTCGAGGTGAACAGTCTTTCAGATCACAACATCTATTCTACCTTTGCATGTAGGTCTTGATAAATATGTCATTTTTCTTCAGTGATTGAATAGGTATTTATAGAAATAGAAATTGCATTACTTCCACTACTTTCTCCTCCCATCCCATCCCACCTCCCTAACTACCCCCTGATGCCCCCCCGCCCCCACCCCCAGCCACAAACCTTGTGAACCCCAACCAATCTGAGTACCTGTGCTGAGTCTTTAGGTATCAGAGCCATTCCTAAGGGACCACCCATAAAGCTATTATCAGCCATTAACTGACTGGTGAATTGGTTTATTAGGTGTTTTTTGTGACACCCAGGAATCCACTGAAGTTTTGATTGAGTGAGGAATCTGGGTTAGGATGGGACCCTGGAGAACCACCCAGGGAGGGAGGCAATTGGGAGACAATGCTCTCTCAAGGGAACTATCCTTGAGCCTCATAAATTTAAAGGCAAATCAGAACTTTATTGCTTTTGGCCAAAGGACACTGCCACACTTTCAGAGCAAAGGGTAAGTACAAGGCATTCTTCTGAAAAGGTTATAGGATTTCAGACAAGACTGAATGTATTAAGCTCCTGAATATAAAATATACACTGTTTTGGAAGTGATTTTATGAGAGCTATCATCTGATGTGTTACTGTGTCAAACAGATTGTAATGTGAATTAACTTTTAGTATGCTCTAAGATAATGATGAAAAAAAAAGCCCATTCATTTACTCAATACATATTATGTTGTGCCAGCTTTTATAGCTGAAAATTAAATACTTAGCTATTGGAAGTAGTTTTCTAAAATTGTTCTTTAAAGAATAGTAAAGCTTCTTTCTCCCTTTACCTTCCTATACTTATTTTAGGGCACATAGAGGTAGCAAACTCTGTTCTAACAGAGGAGCCTCCATACTGTCTGGAAATAGGGGAATTTGGATTCATTTGCTTTTATTATTAGGGCACACACATGTATGGAACAAGTTTAAATCGAGATTTGTTTGTTTTGTATTCCTCTACACCAAATTTATATTCAGATAAATTTTGAAAGAAAAAAAAAAGAACAAAATCTCTTGGGTTAAGACTCTCACATAAATCAGCAACATTTACAAACAATCTAACCTTTCACTGCCTTGCTGTGAAGCCAGCTCAGCCACAAATTGGGTGTGTGACATCATGAAGTTACTTAAACTTTCTGCACCTTGGAAATAAAGTTCAGACAACTACTTCTTGATAGAATTGTTGAGAAGTATAAAATGGGAACTGCAAGTAAAAAGGCCTGGTACAGTAAGATGGAAATAAAGGTCAGTAAATATTCTGATCACTAAGTTTATTAACCGGTTTGGCAGAAAAGATGTACATGAACTGAGAATAGGAAATTTTGATCAAAGAAAAGTATTTCTTACCAGAATAGAAAAAATATCAAGTCTGCAGATTCAAATCTAGTTAATCCAATCAGGATCCGAATTGGAAATTTCTACCCCCTCCCCCATTCATTGACTATCTAGCAGTTTTCTAAGATTGATCCGATAACTTGTTATCTCATAGGTTTCTAGTCTTCCCTACTTCTGCTCGGTATGCTCAGCAGAGACTCACAAGTGGCAAACATCACCACATTTAACTGGAAGCCTGAATGTGGCCAGGTCTGCAAGTTGGAGTTTTCAGCTGGGAGTGCCAGTTCGGGATTGGGAGGTGGAGGGGTGAGTTGGATTGGAGAGTGGGGGGAATGTTACGACTCCACCTCCCTTCTGCAGTCAGCAACTCCATCTCCTACTCCCTGCCCCCGCCAACTTCTTCAGACCTCTTAGCGCCTTTCTCTCGCCGGTTCGCCCTTCCTCGGGGTGTCTGGGCCGGGCGCAGGAGGCGGGCTTAGAGCTGACGGCAGCGCCTCTGCAGCGGGAGGGAGGAGGGCGGGAAGGCGGGCGGAGGAGGAGGAGGCGGAGACTACACCGGGCGGTAGCTGGCGCTGAGCGCGGTGGGAGAGGAGAGGGTACCCGGCTGGCTAGGCTGGCGGCCTCGGCCCGGATCTCAGCGCCGCAGTCCTGCACCTCTCCCGCCTTGTCTCCGGGTCCGCGGCCCCAGGCACGGCGGAGGCGGTGGAGCTGTGGGCCACGGGTAGGTTGCACGCCAACGGCGGTTCGGTCTGCAACCTTTTGTGCTGCAGAAAAGGTGGTGGTGGTGATGGGTGGATGGGGGTGCCCCAGTCACCGATCCCGGGTGCCAGCCCCAGTCGCGGCGCCGCCCCTTCCTCCTAGCCTCGTGTCGGGACCGGGCGCGCAGTGCCAGCGCGGATCTGGGGAAACCCTGCCGTGCGGGCCTGGGGAACGGGCGACCGGGAGGCTCCTGCGGCCCGCGGCCTCAGCGGGCTGAGCTCCCGGCGCCCGAGCCGGCGGTTAGGGTCTGGTGAACTGGGTGGGGCCCTTGCGGGGTGAGGGGAGCCCGCGATTCCCTGGCACAGGGGTGGGGCCCGGAGACGCCGTGAGTGTGCGGCGCGTGTGAGTGACTGTGCGGGGGCGTGCGCCCCCGTGCGCGCGCGGCGTGCGACCGCCGGGAGGTGCGGGGACTGGGCTCCCGCGAGCGCCTTTCCCGCGGTGCGATGGTGCGGAAGTCCGGGCGCGTTGGCTAGCTCGCCTGCTCCTCGGCTGCGGTGCCCGCATCGCGGGGCAGCGGCCTGGGGGACTCAGCGAGAGTAGCCCTTTCCCGGGCCTGCTGCGCCTTCTGGCCGCGTGCCCAGGCCGCGCGCCTGGTACCCCTGCCCCGGCTAGATAGCGCCTCGGGGCGAGCCCCGGTGGCCTTATCTTGTGGCCGTCTTTGCTAGTGCTTCAATCCTGGGGGCGAAAGTGCCCGCGATCTTGTGGCTCGCACCCGCTGGGCGTCTGTCGGTGCGGCGGGGGCGGACGGGCTGGCCGGGGACGCGCGAGTGAATTGGGGTCGCAGGCTGGCGGGACGCGGGAGCGGCAGATGTCGTTGGGCTGGGCCGCCCTCGCCCCACCTGTCGAGGGTGGACTTTAAGGGGAGTGGGAAGTGGAGGAAAGAGGTTCCCAGAAGCGCGACAGTCAGATCTTGAGCCGGCGGCTCCATTGTGAAGCTTCTAAACTCACTTGTGGTGGAATCTGCCAGTCTCTGCCAGAGGGAACACCAACGGGTTGATGGCCTGTCCTTTTCCCCTTGCGAGAGTTCCACATTCTTAGGGTCTCCCTGCTTCTCTCACTCACGCCAGTTTGCACCCACGGGTGTCGGGGTGGGGGTGGGGGGAGCTTAGGGATTTGGGTTGAGCCTGAATGCTATGACTGGTGCACAGGTATAACCGGGGCTGGGAACTTTTTAATCATTTCAGGAAGAGGAAGAATGGGGCAGTGTCATTTTTTATAGCGTGCTTGCTGCTCCTAGCCCAAAGAACAATTCTTGCACAACATTTATGACGTTACCGTGCTCTTCATTTTACATTGTTTTTCTGCGATGTGCCACCCTACAATTAGAGTTGTTAGTTGCTCTCTGTGTGTATTAAACTCGGTAGAACATATTAGACATTAGGAGAATAGAAAACAACCTCCTCCCAAGATTTATTTTTTCAGTATTTCAAATTAGAGTATTAGCTTTTACTGAAGAAACTTTTGGTACTTTATTCATGCAAGACCACGATTTACACATTGTGTTTAATGAATGTTTCACAGATTTCTTGGTGTTTTCATTATGTAACTCTATGCACTGGAAATTCAACAACAATAATAAGCAGGATAGATGTAATATAATAACCAGAAGGATAATGAATCCAGAGATCTCCTTGACCTGATCAGATTGGTGCATTAAAAAAAAAAAAAAACCAAAAAAACAAAAACAAACAAACAACAAAAAAAACCTGTTTCTGGCAGCTTTCTAGATTATTTATTTTCAAGTGAGACTATTTCATAGTAGCTTTCAGGCTATAAGATACATGGTATTTATGGGCCTTACATAATGGTGTATGGATTTGTTTACTTTCTTTGTATAATTTTGTATACTTGGGGGTATACAAAATTAAAATTAAATCTCAAAGGTGGGAGTGATACAGTTTCATACACAGGTGTAATTTATTTTCTTTTTTGGCTGGTTTATTGCCTGGGGAAGGGGAGTCTTTTCCTTTTTTTCTTCAGAAAGAACTAATTTTTTTCCCACCAGTCTATCAAAGCAAATTCCTGGTTTTAGGAATTCACCTGGAACGTTAGCCAGTGTCACAGTTTATGGCAGTCCTGTTTCAGTTATGCTTCCTGAGAGGCAAATTTCTTGCAAAGGTTTCATGTAGACCTATAGTTTAGGTGAAATTAATCATATTTGTAGTGAAACTGATTTGTTCCCCTTAAAAGTAGGAAGGTGACACCCTTAAAAGTAGAAAGGTGACATCACATGATAATAAGAAAATAGGAGTTATCTAGCTCTAATCTCTGCAAGCAGAAATAGAAGAAAAAAAAAAGGCTGCACTGGAAAGCTATTAAACACTGATATTGAAAGAGAAACACATTTTTGTCTTACTGAACTAATTAGGTGTTGCCCTACCTTGTTGGTGAGGTTAATAATTGGTTTGTAAGGTCAGGATGATTTCAGAAGTCACCTTTCTTAACGACTGTAAAAAAAAAATTATTACTAATTTCATTTTTATACATTGCCAGTGGTAAATAAGGTTATTTTAAAGAAATTCTACAGTGAGCATGTAGGTGCGGTTCATTTTTTTTTTTCCGTGTGAGTGTTGTACTTTGGCAGTTAAGCCCCCTTTATTTCTGCTCAGAAATTTGTAATTTGAGAGATATTTCAGGTTTTGCCTTTTTAATTTGTTTTTAAGTATCATCATTGAGAATGGTGGATGCAAATTATTTTCATTGGTCTGAATGAATTTTTTAAAACTGCTGTTTTTTTTTAACCCCCAGTGCTTTTTCATTATTAATCTTTCCTCAAATATAGTCACTCTTACTTTGCATTAGAGAATCATAGATTGAGAACCCAGAACTTCCACTCTACCTGATTTATTTGCCTGAAATTTATCTTGTTTTTTATATTATAATATAATCTTTCACCATTAGTGGAATTTATTTGCCAAAAGTCACAGTGATAAGGTTATACTTACAACCTTATAATTTGGAAACTAACAGGTTTTGTTAATTTTTTTTTTCTAATTGTTGTTTTGTTAGTGGATCTGGGCCAGATCCTGGCATGTATGTCTTTTTTGATGTATGTAGGGATTTTGTGTGGGCTTTAATCTCTCCACATGTAGAACTTGCCTTGTATTTTTAGGATGACCACTAATCTCCGGGTTCCCTATGCCATCCAGTTTTACCATTACAGATTCAATTAATGCATTTCCATGTCTGTCTGCCTTTTTCCTTTCTAGCCGGGTATATTTGTCTCTGTTTCTGTAGGTTGCTGGGACATACTAAAACTCAAGAATACTGGGTTCAATGAATGAATGAGTAAACTAATAACTGTAGGGGAAGACATCATACAATCAGAAGGGTTTCTGTTCTTTCTCTCTCTTCTCCACTCTCTGTTAATCCATTATCTTTCCATTGTTACATACTCAAGGTAACAATATAATGGGTGACTTGGGATATTTTCTAGTGCTAAAGAAGATGCTATAAATAATTGTGCCAGGCACTGCTATGAACGAGACACAGGGTCATACTGCTTTTAAAGGACATTCTTCTTTATTTACCTGCGATGATATCAAGCACCTTACCTGAGAAACTTGACACTCTTGCTAGCTAATGTTTGCAAACTTTTCTATTTGTAGAAGCTTCATTTGCAGTTAAATGTTGGGTGTCTTTTGCTTAGTCACCCATGACTCCTTATCCAGAGGCCTGTGGGCAGCTGTTGGTCATGCTTAATGTTTCTTATTTTTATTGTTTACAGGATAATGTCACAGGGCTTTCTGTGTTTCAGCTACTTATAGCTGGAAGGATTACATATTCTGGTCTTTGGTCTTTACTTCCGTTTTTCTCTATAGCATTTAGTCCATCTTGTAAGAATTTCATGGCCATTTTTTTTCTTTTTGTGTGAGGAGATCCTTTGATATCTTGCCAAGTCTTCATTTTCATAACATTGGTCAGAATCAAGTGCCAGTGTTAGGGATTTACAGATTTTTAAAGTATTCTAAAAATGTCATTGGAAGGTTTATATTTAAATAACTCCTCTGACAATTGTTTCTAGTGGGAGATGGGGGTAAAGCCCTTTTTAGAATTTTTTTTTTAAATCAGATTCCTTTATAGGCAATCTGTTCACAAGGTATTTTCCTATACTAGTTTCTAACCTACTTTTCTTATTTTTTTAAAGATTTTTTATTTATGCATACAGAACTAGAGTGGGGGGGGGGAGGAGGGTGAGCCGATTCACCAGAGACAGAGTGGGGAGCAGAACAGGCAGATCCACGAAGTACACTGCTGAGGGGAGCAGTGGCGGGTTAGGAGAGGTCTGCCACGCCATGTGGATCACCTCCGGGGTCAGGGTTCGAACTCCCCAGCTTGCAGTGCTGCGCTTTAACCCTCTGCACTCCCCCCCCCCGCCCTTTATTATTATTTTTTTAATTTTAAATCTCTCTTTCTCTCATCTTCGTTCTCTTCTTCCTTTTAGCATCTGTGCACAGATAGCATATAATAGTTAACCATAAAACAATAATAAGCAGAGTCAGAAGTGAGCAAGAAATGAGGAGTGGATGGAGCTGCTGCTGTTTGCTCCTTGGTTTCGCCTGTGTTGCCCCCGTGGACTCTGTGTTTGTGTTCTATTTCTGTCTTGGCACTGGCAGAATAGGGATAATCAGTTACTACACTTTGTTTACTATGAAATTACCAACCATTTCCTAGACTTCCACATCAGCCCCAGTGCAGGAGTTGGACAATAACTTTAAGGCTCCTCTTGTTTTCAAATCCAGAATGAAAGTTTTGGTTTTATTTTTCTTTTGGCGTTGGAAAAAAGTTGGAAAATGTCTTTTCCCAATGCATTTGAAAGCTTGAAATGAAGACACTACCACCAGATACATGATGTGAGTTATAGGAAAGTGTAAAGGTGATTTTAAACATCATTTTATAACTAGAATAAAAACAGATTCATATTTTTCTAATATTCTCCTTTTGCAGTTTTAGTCAAAATTT